AACAATCTGTTACAATCAGCTCTACCGAAAACTCCACAAACTTTTACGTCATATAACTGAAAGCATAGAAGAGCTGCTTGATAGCTATTTATGGCTTTACCCATTACCATTTGTGGGTGAGGTCCAATCACTCAGCTCCTCAGTTGCCACGACTTCCTCTTCCCATCTAATATGGGTGTCAACGAACTGTTTCCTCGCTAAAGGCGAGCAAACATTCGTAGCTGCGCTTAAGATGCCATGTGATAAACAAGTCGAACTTTTTTTAGCCCCTGACTCTATGTAAGGCAACAATGAATTAATTACTGCTACTATTGCGACAATAAATTAATCCTTTGATCAAATCTGAGGTTTTAATTGTTTCTACAAGAATTACAATTCAGCTGTTGAATCGGCTGATTAACCGAAGAATAGCTAACATTATGATCGAATAGATTCCATATAAGGTAACACGTAAAAAACACAAGGGAACTGCGTCTGACTTGTGTATTGCTAACACGATTTTCAGATACTTCATATGTTGGAAACAATCCCCGCCGAAAAGCCTATCTAAAGTCGATATAAGGGACAGTAGTGGAGCTTAAGTCTAGATTTCTCAACAGTGGATTAAAGGGATTCCCATTTAGTCCTACATTACATCAATTATACGCATTAACCTCCATCACGAGGAGTTTGGTCTTCCTACAAATAATATGTACTTGATCGAGTGGGTTCCTATTTCTCTGCTGCTGCACCTTCTTAATATCAAAAGAAATTTATTCGACACCGTTTTATTTCACCACCAAGTAAAATACAAAGAGAAGCCACATTTACGATATATTTTCTTTAAACATTGAGCATTGGAAAGACAATAAGGAATGTGGAATAGGGAAGCCCAGCTCTCAGCTCACCAATGCTCCTCATCTGACGTCCGACAGGGCGAGTTTTCAGCACTCTGCATGGGTGAGATTAGGATTTCAGACTCTGAACGTCTAGGAAGGAGGGCTCGTAGAAGGGGATGCATTTGTGGTCGAGAACGATCTAAACAAACACCAAATTATGTTTCACAAGAATACTTTTGATAAAATAGAAGCTATCAATAAGGGATGAATGATTATTTTAGATTTAGAGGGCTGTTTTAATTTATAATTCAAGAATATGTACGATAAAAAGGATAATAGCAATTCATTTAAACTGGTGGGTTTGGACTGTTTCTGTTCAAAACGTGTTTCATTAAACATCAACTGAATTTTATCCTTATCTTACAAGCAATGCCTGAGGACAAAGAGTGATTCCGGTGTCCAGGGCAGAATAGCACCGTGCCATTCCATCATTGTATATTTTACTACGAAGTAAACTCAATTTTCAGCAGTAACTGCTCGAAGGGATGAACGGGTGAGCGTGTAATCTGCTTTAACAGCATTGATCAATCAGATTTGTAAGGACTCTGCTACGCTTTCATTTGACAGCTGGTTTTAGTTAAGCCGAAAATGTTTCTATGCAACCCTGTCAAGTCTCCTTGTTGACAGCGGAAAGATTTGTTCACGCCACTCATGAGGCCTCCATGAGGTGATTATAAGCTTCCTTCACCCTCAAAACCTATTAGTTTCGCGATCCTTGCAACCCGGTAATTAGCCACCTAAAGTCATACTAATCATCCCGGGTAGCCCCTTCATAAACTGCAGCTAATAGGAGGAATGGAGGGAAGGGTCAGTATCCAACTTGACAACCTCCCCACATCATCACCCTGCCCCATCAGCACCCTTTTTTATGGCGCACCCACAAGCTGCTCTACGAAGGTCGGTTTAGATGGTCAATAAAATGCATGGAGATGTTTAAAAAAAATTCTCTCACCGAAATTAACACCACCGCTGTGGCCGTAGTGCCGTTGAATCACTTCATCTTCCAGTCGGGTGATAAATTTGATGGTCTCCTCGATCACGGTAACCTAGAAATTAACAAATTTGGTGTATTTGAACAGGTATCAATTTTGCACAACAGGATCAAATGTTAACTCTTCAAATTACAGTGATTAAAATCGTGTATTGAATGCAGCCACTACGGATTTCTTTCGAGAGATACGTCCGTCCCTTGCATGTAGGCCTCTACCCCTTACTTCTATGTACTTTTTATTAAAAAATAACTATTGGAAAAATGTTACACATCGATGCAAAGCTTAAAAGATTGCCGTATGAAATGAGGAAGGACAAAGGCATTTATGAAATGATTTGATAAATTGATCCTACTTCGTTCATGCTTCAAAATGATTTTGAGTGGGAAACATAATGCCTAACGCATGAAAACGATATACCTCAGTGGTATTTGGTCGATTATTCAGACCGGGAATAAGTTCCATCAACTGTCTGATCTCATCCAAGCGGCATTGTTTCCGCAAAGGCTTGGAAATTTGCCGCTTTTTGAGGTGATTTTTCATCTGTGATTGGCGATTCTTCTGCATATTTGAACGGTATGTTAAAAATCGCGTTCCTTTAATAGACTAAACGGCATTATAGTTATCTGATGCTTATAGATGTACGCAGCAATGCCTTTTCACACCCCCTTCAAAGCTCAGCAGCCAATCGGGTCCAAGTGTATTTTTCATTGGTTGGTTTAGGCTAAAGTAGCGCCTAGGGGTCGATTCTGCAGCGAATAGGAATCGTGCAGTCAAGTAAGGGACTAGAATCCTGAGTCAATTTTGTCTTTTTAGCATTCAACTTGTTAACATCCACATTTAGCATTATAATTTTAAAGCTTTTGTCTTTAACTAAATATGATTTTTAGTAAAGCTCGATGCTTTCAAAAAGATTTACTTTGAAACTACCGTCTAAAACAGACCAATGGGCGTTTTGTTTATAATTAGCACAAATTCACTATTTATTTTCTTTTGCAGTGTTTTAGGTAAAGTTATTGTCCTACACAAACTGCCACGCTGAATGAATTATCCACGAACGAGAAGATTGTGAATATTTCACTGTCCCCTAAAATTGTTATGTTCAACTCAAGTACTATACGCTTTATTTTACCAAAGTCTTCGAAAGTTAAATTATTAATAAAGTGGGTTTATCTTGGTACCAATTTATACTGAAATTGGTGTTGACCAAAGTTTTGCCAACCCTCTACCAAGGCCTTAGAGGAAAAAAACATCCCACGAATGACATGTTCTACGCAGAGGTGTGATGATCTAAACTGCGCAACACAATTCTCACCAGATTAAGAACATTCCGCCTCCACTTTCCCGATTTGAGTTGTTCTAATCTTTTGGTTGCATATGATCTGTGACAACAAATTTTTTTAAGGTGATAAAGAGCGCACTAGTTACTGAATATCGAAATGATTAAAAAATTTATCGGTCTAAATGGCCTTGATTTCGCTAAATAAAGTTGTCACAAAAATATTTGCTATTATAATCGACAGAAACTTCCATAATGCTTCGATGGTTTTCCATTTGTGCACCTACAACAGTTTTTTTGACCTTTCCACAATTTTAGACTTCGAGCTTTTCCTTATTCTGCATACACCTGTGGGCCAAAAAAGGAACTATAGAAAGCCAGGGATGCATGAGAGAAGAAGCAGAGGATGGCAAAGGCAAACAGATTCCACCTCTCCAAAGTCTCTCCCCTCCCTCTCCCACATATGTCTGCACGCGGACAGGCACCTAACCCAGCAACTAAGAAGGAATGTAGGGAGGGGTAATGCAGACCAGTCGGTCGGTCCAATCTGTTTAGTTGGGGTAGATAGTGATATAGACCTTTTCGAAGAAAGGGGGAAGGCAGGTGGCCTAGCAACCATCTGCCACGTCGGTTGCAGGTGTTCCGGCACGTGTACATCTCCCTTTTTTACTATGCCTAGCCCTGCACTCACACCCTAAGATCAGTTTGACATTTAAGAAGGAGACGAAGGGTAGGATCTGGCCAATTGCAAAGGCGGGTGCAGCCAGTGCGAGTCAAGGAGGTCTGCGCAGGAGGTGATGGGAATGGGAAGATAAGCAATTCACTCTTTGGCTAATAAGTATCAAAGCAAGGTATTGCTTTGTTAAATCTGCGACTGATTAATGTTACTTTCCTATTACCCGAGTAAAGTTTTAACACGTTCACTACCAGTGCTATTTACAAGTGATGAGTTCTTTATTAATTTGTGAAAGCTATTTGCATCAAATATTGGTTCGAATAGACAGAATAACTGTTATTTTAATGAAAAGATGTAAGGTATTCTTGGTGCCAGAATAATTACACTTCTTACTTTTAAGTAATGAAACCTAAGACCTCAGAGGACTCCATAAAGTATGTGGGGTTTTTGGTATAGCTGACTGTAACAGATTGCG